ATGATCACCTCGGTCACCTATAACATCTTCAGGTTTCTGGCTTCGATCCTCAACCCGTTCGTTGGCAGCTCTGAACACCTCATCCAGAACACTTTGGATTTTCTTAGGAAGGTGAGAGATGACATTATGGAGGCAGATAAAACCATGGTCTCGTAAAATTTTACATCTCGCTTCATTTGTGTTCCAGTCACTAAAGCAGTGGAGGTATTTCGTAAGAGATTACAGGACGACCCCACCTTAGTAATAGGACCACTCTCAGCACTGACCAAGTGTGTTTGCTTTGAGAACTGTGTCTGAATTACACCTATTTCACATACGACGGTCAATACTACAAGGAGAATTATGGGTGCACGATGGCTTCCCCAATTTCACCCATTGCAGTCAATTTGTTAATGGTGAGTGAGAAAGTGAGCTCTGCTGTCCTACACTGGAACACCATAAAATCATTGGTTCAGGTATCCATCTGTTCTCTCCTGCTTATTCTTTTCAGGGTCCTGGGGGGGCTGGAGCCTATTCCAGTTAGGTCGAGAGGCAGGGTATACCCTCGACTTGTCGCCAGTCTGTCACAGGGCTAACACATGGAGACGAACAACCATTTGCACCCAGATTCACACACACATTCACTATTATGGGCAATTTAGAATGACCAATTAACTGAACCCTACATACTGCATGTCTTTGGACTGTGGTCGGAAGCCGCAGTACCCGGAAAGAACCAATGCAAACACGGGGAGAACATGCAAAGTCCAGACAGAAAGGCCACAGCCATGTGTTGGAATCGAACTCAGGACCTTTTTACCTTCTTGCTAATCATTGCACCACCATGCTGCCTCGTTCAGGTATGTTGGTGAAAATCAACTCTCAGGACTTACCATGATTCACTGATCACATTTACTCGGTGGAACAATACATCATGTTCACCAAGTAAAAAGGTGGCAGGTTAGCCTTCTTGTGAGGCTTCCACGAGTAATGAGGGACATTTAAAAGTTGATGTGTACCATAAACTAACGCATACAGATACGTATTTAAAGTTTGACCATTGGAGCACAAACTGTGTGTCATCGCACTACGACACAGAGTGAAAACCATCCCCACAGCGAGGCCAGGGAAGATATAGAGATGGAGATTAAGGTATAGATGTTAGCAGTAAGATTTGTATTTTTACCTTTCTGCTTTGGAAAAACAGTGACATTGGCAGGTCCTGAAGCTGGAATGGAGACTTTCATGTTTACGCCGCTGAGGAAAATACACACAATAAAATCTTTTCACAAAAATTGGAAAGTATTTAAATGATTTTTAAACTAGAGAGACGTATTAAATACAGTCAATCAAATTCAAATTTTTATCATTGTCATATTTAGGTAACAATGGTACACAACTACTGACAATGAAAATTTTAGGCTCAGTAGGCAGCAAAAATAGCTCGAGTTATAAACTACCAATCATTGAGCTTCAGACAAGATTGAGAAAATATGGAACATTTTTCCAGGTAGCAAGCTACATAATTCCCTCTCTAGTATATTAAAAAGTGAGGGGATTTATTTCATGTGTTTTGAAAGCATTTGCAGAGTAGCACTTATTTTCCCTTGTATTAATTTTTGATTTTAGTAACTCTAAAAATTGAACACCACAGGTAATGCTCACCTCTGAAAAAGCTTCTCCATGGTTGTCAGGCTTTCTTTATATCCTCCATTGTAGTTGGTGATCCTGGTGTCACAACTCATATTTTCTGGCTTATAGCAGAACCATGGCTCACCTGTACGTAAATCTGTGTAGTTGCACACAGGCTGGGTTGGACGTAAACATACGTTGCAGGTGGTTGTTCTAGTGAGCAAGCTCGAGCGGAACTGACTCTTGAAGTAGATCCTGTCGGGTTCTTCTATGTTCACCCTGCGCAGCTCTGTGACTGCCTCACTGGGATGAACCAGTGTCACCTGGTAGGACAATTAATCAAAGTGTTGAAATTTGGGTCTCACAGAAGTATATATAACATGTATCTGGTACATGGAACTGTTAAATATTATTAAGCAAGACAGAACTTCATTGTGCTACAGTAAATGTGAAGTTGTTGATATAAATAGTCCCTGCAGGCCAGGATAGGTCTGAACCTTTGATCTGGCACCAGGAAGCGCCGCGTCTCCTGATGTGTCACCTCTTATTCCTGTGACCATTAGCTTTCTTTACTCTGAGGCTTCCCACATCCTGGGGAGACCGCACGTCCATGAATCCACACACAACCTGAGCCACTTGCACACACCTGTGGGTCCTGTGCGCCTTGACCCTGAAGGTGAGCCCGAGCCTATTTCCCATTCCAGATGAGTTCAAGCCTCCCATATCTTTTGAGCCTGAGACTGTCCACCTCCACTGCTCATCATCTGCCAAGTTTCCAATGCCACATAATTTCCTTAGGGATTAAGTAAGTATCTTGAATGTGAAGGGATTCTGCCTGCCTCCTCCATCATTGAGTTGTTGTACTGTAATATCCCCCCCCCGCCCGCCCAGGAGAAGGCTTAACACTAACCAACAGGACATAGCGGTGGTAGACAAACTGAAGAAGAAGGCCGTAGTGATAGATGTAGCGATTCCGAATGACAGCCACATCAGGAAGGAATATGAGAAGCTGGAGAAATACCAAGGGCTCAGAGCTCAGAGAACAGCTTGAGAAGATGTGGAGGGGGAAGCTAACAATGGTTCCTGTGGTAAGTGGAGCACTAGGTGCAGGGAACAGCTAAGAGACCCTGTCTACAATAAGAATGTTTGGCATTGGTGCTTTAGCACAGCATCAAGTATGTAGTCATTAAGTGTCGCTCAAAGCTAAGTGCCTCATTATCCAGTTAAATATTGCTACTACAGAAATATTAGTCATCACAGAGTGATGTGCTATTTTCTTAATCACTTATCTTTGCTCATACACTTATTTTATTCTCTAGCTATCAACATAAAAAATGGCCCTTGACCACTAAGATACACACATTTTATTTTATTTTTAGTTTTTTATTTCTATTTTATTATTGCTAGTCTTATTGTTTTTTGTTATTATTTTTTTCTTTTTATTTCATTATCATTTCAGTTGATGCAACAATAAACTTCACGAATACGGGATAAATTAAGCATTCCTATCTTAAATCTGCTAGCAACTACAAATACATAGATAAACTCTTAGTGACTCCAGCAACAACTCCAGTAACAATAAAAATTAAAAGTTTTATCATCACCTCAACCTGTGCGCTTCCTTCCCAGAGTAAAGAGAATACAGCAGAGTAGGAACCATTGAGATGATCCACCACTTGTCCTGCAACACCAGCACCAAGGGTGGGGTTGTGCAGCTGGGCAAGTAAGACGTCTCCCCCATACTTCTTTGGACGGCCCATGAAGTCATATATTTTGATCAGGGCCTCCAGGTTATCCCCTATTTGCCACTGTCCCTCTCTCTTCCTGGGGAGAATGGTGAAGGTGCTGTGGGCTGGATCACTGCTGCTATTCATAAAAAGAGGTGATGGTAAAGATGGGGTTTCAGGCCAAGCAATGGACTCTAGCAGAAGTTGTTCTTCAAGAGTCTCCTCAGGGGACAGTGGTTTTAACTTGCAGAAGTTGTAATGTATGTCAACAGGTTGAGTTACAATGGCAGGTCTTGGGTAGGGGATGATGTAGGTGGTGTTTATTTTCTTCTGAAACTGTAAAAGGGAGAGAGCATGGCAGTTATATAAACGCTTCAAACAAAAGAAGTCTGTGTTTAGTTTTAAACACAACATAATGAATGATTCCTCTTGACGTGACATTTCCTGCTTTCACTATCTTATTTGCAATGTATAATGCATGTCAGCTGAATTTCCCAAAGGAACCCACCCGAGGGCTTAATAAAGTTTTATCTAATCTAATCTAGCTCTTTATTCAATACAGTG